TACAGAATGGATGAATGACGAGAATATTTTATTAGAACTAACTAAATCAGATGAAGCATTAAAAAATATTAAACGTATACATATACAATCATATCCTGATGATAATTATAAAAGTAAATTTATTAGTTATACTAAATCATTTTATCAAGGTACTATATTTATTATTTATATTAAATGAAATTTATACTTTAGTATTAATTATTATTATTTAGCAGATAGTGAATTGAAAGAGTTGAATATTAATGAATGATAAACAATATAATTTGAAAAATGTATAATGGGATTTCGTCTGTTTTAGGTTTAATTATTGACTGTTTCTTGGTGAACATGGGTCAACAAAGTTTATGTACTGTATTTACTTCAACAATTTTATTCTGACTTAGTATATTTCTTCTTTTTTTATTAGGCAATATAACTTTTGTATATTAAAATACCATTATACAAATTATAAATTTTCAATAATTTCATTTTAATAAATTTGTACATTATATATTAAAGGATTATTTGAAATGTCCAATTCATATATATCAAGCAATATATTATATGTGGGTACGAAACATCTGCCGATTCGGAAATCAATTCAACTTTGAATCCACTTAGTAGGAAGAAATTGATGGTTCCGATTATAGAAATTGGTGAAATTAATTTCACCAGCATCTATAGTTCCGATCAACTCACTGACAATCACTTCAAAGACATCACAGACCAAAAATACTAGTCATTGCCGTTAAAGTTAGATTTAGAATTAGAGTTAAAGGTTAGTGCAATTTATAAAAAACTTGTCTATGAAACGAGATGTTGGTGAAATTTACTATCTATTAAATGAACTTGTCTGTCCACTGCCCATAAAATAAGCTTGTCGGCGATCCAGAAATTGAATATTTTATTATATTTAAGATATAGTTTTGTTATCTAAAGCTACTCACACTGTGTGTGTTTTTTTAAGCATAATAAGTATTATTTGTATAACATCTACTCCATATATAAATTAAAACATTCACATTTTTATGCTAGTTAGCGGCATGTGCAGATTGTATTCATTTAATCCTAATAACGTAAGTCAGTAGCTAATTCTACTTCTATGATACTAATTTAAAAGTTTTTTCTAAAGATTTTTATTGACAAAATTTGGGTTAAAGAATATTTTCTTTAATTAATATCTTGGGTTAGATTCCAAAAGTAATTGCTTAAATATATAGCTATTAACGGATATATATTTATTTTAAATATCTCGATACATAATTGATTTTTTGAGCGATGCTTGGAAGTTTGGGTTGGTTACAATCAGAACCAAAATCTGACATATTTGAGCAATTTTGAAATAAAGTTTGCTTAAATATTCTAACATCACGAACTTTGAAGGACTATAAATTTACGTTTATTTACGTAAGTAATATTAATGCTAAGTAAATTCTTACTATAAATTTATGTAGCCATAAAAATGTATAAAAAAATGTATTATATTACATAATTTTTTATTATAAATTTATGTACTTATAAACTTATGTACCGAATTGTAATTTTTTATTATAATATTTGCTATCTAAGAATGCATAGTTTCTTACGCAAATTTTTTTTATAAATTTACATAATTATTGACATAATAGCTATTGGTATGTCCGAAGCGAGGTATTATATGAACTTCATGTTGTAAGAAATTTAGCGGAACTAGATTAAATTCTGCTAGTAGTTTAACATAAGGATTATCATACTTATAGTGCCGTCTAGAATATTGATACTTGAAATCATACCATTGTACCAATACTAAAGAATATATTGCATTATTATAGGTTAATTGCAATAACAATAGTACCTGTAAAGAAATTTTGATTGATAAATTAATTAATAGTTAGATTTAAAATAAGCTGTATATTTAAACTTACTTTTCCGAAGCATAGTTCCTTTTCTTCACTATAATTGGTTGTTCTTTTCACTTCTATAGCAACATTAGCAAAATGTGACCTTTGATAAAAATTTTTCGTAGCATAAATCCTTTGTCCATTTTCAAGCTTAATAGATTTGTATAATTCAATCCAAATTGATAATTTATTCAAATCATCTTCAGCATTATTGGATATTTCAAACCATGTATTTAAACAATTTTGTAAATTAGCCATTCCTAGTAATGTAAATTCATGTTCATTCGAATTTATCATTAAGTTTTGAATATTAATATAATCATTAAACGTGAAAGAATAAATTAATGTGCTAAATTGTTCATTGCTGTTTTGTAATCGATCATATGAAGTATTGCTTAATGATGTTAATATTATTTGTTGTTTTATCTGTAAAATTTAATTAGTTAATAATATAATAATTTATGAATTTTTATATTATATCTAATAAATATTTAACTACTTACAGTTCCTATTATTTGCATATTTATATCCCGTTTGTTGCTAGATCGATAAGGGTTTTTAATATAATCCTTGTGAAGAGATTTATATGTTTCTGAAGTCCATCCATTTATATTTCCAAATTCTCTAATTGATTCAGTTATATGGTATAGCCAAGAATGAAGTTTTATATGGCTAAGACCTGAAGGTGAAAATTTTTGAAGTAGATTTATAAAATCTTGTGCCCAATTAAATCGTGCAATCTATTTTATAATAATTAAATTAAAAATAAAATAATTAAATAAAACTTTAATATAATATTGAATTATTAAAAATACCTTGAATTCTTTTAAATCATTTTCACTTGGCATTATATTTCGACTCATTTGATACATAATATTCCATTTAATAAATAACATTGTTAATGCTTTGTCTGTTTTTTTATCATATGTGGTATAAATACCGTACGTACGGAACGTACAGCACTTATCGTTATCAGTTATCATGACAGAAATACCGAACGAGTGTATTCATGCAATTATCATTAATCTTGCAAAAGATAATAAAAGTTTATTCTCATGTATACAAAATACCATCAATTATAAAAGGTATAACTTTCATAATATTTCTATATTCTCCTGCTGTAAATCGCTTGATGTTTTGTAATCCAAATTTAAAAATTTTAAGACCATGAATAGGAGGAATAGTTCCAAATTGATGATCCATTTCATTTATTGCATTATTTCCACCTATTTCTTTTAAAAGCATTCGACTATATTTAAGCTGATAATAAAAAAGTCCAATATCTAAATAATGTAATCGATCTGGTACCGTAGCAGTATAAATATTAATATCAGACATTTTCCAAAAGCTATTTTGCAAATTAACAATAGAGTAGAGATTGCTAATTCCTGATTCTATAGCTTCTTTCATATTTTCATGTGTTCGATAAATAATTTGATTATTGGTTAAATTAATATTTGCAAGATCTTCATTACTAATTAAACATTTATGACAAGGATATTTTGCATTAGCCGATTTGGATGTTAAACAATAGTTTGCTGCTTCAAGTAAATCTGATATAATCATTGTGATACGAATATATATCCAAGTAGGTTGTTTATTAATATGTAACATAAAGCTTGATGATGATTTTTTATAGATAGGTTTTAAAACAATATCTATACAATTTTGAAATACTTTTCGTAATTCTAATCGAAATTCATCTGATTTTCTTTGATTTTCATTAACTGATTTAATTATTGGAAATAATCTAACAATAGCTTTTGCATCTTTTTTATTCCGTCTTTGAGATGGAATATTTCCAAAGGTAACAAATACATCACATGTAGTTCCATCCGAATATAAAATTAATGCCAAAAGTTTTGATAAAAATGGAAGATTCTGTTCTGTTTTTTCCCACCAATTAGCATTATATATTTCAGCATAACATTGAACTCTTTGATTATTTTCATCTACTTTCCATTGCACTTTATAATTAAATTTACATTGTTGCATTAAATTATCATTTTGCAATAATTCCTGAATTGCTAAAAGAATTGATCTATTTTCAAAATAATAATTTGTATTATTATATGTTGAAACTAAATCTTTTTTAAATTTTAAAGTAGATATATTAATTGATCTAAGATAATATCGTCCAGCACTAGTTGATTTTGGTAAAAGATTTTGATCTAATGATGAATATTTTTTAAATACTTTAAGGAAAGCATCTCCCGCTTTGTTGCTAATATTATATTTATCAACTACATTCATAAAATCTATAAATGCATTATTTGGTATTTTTAGTTTATTAGAAATTTCGAAAATTAACTCTTCATAATTAGAATCATCTTCATTAATACAATTATAATTATCTTCATCTGTATAAATATAATTTTCTTCATCAGTATAATTTTTGCTACTATTGCTTTTTAATTCTTCATCATCAGTTGTAATTTTTTCACTGCTTAAAGAATTATATAATGAATCTGAATTAGAACTTTCATTTTCATTTGAAGTTGAATATATTTCCATAAAATTTTCTTGCTCATTATTAAATTGAATTTGCTCCGGAGTATAATTATTATTAGATAACAAATTGTTATTAGAAATTTCATGTAAAGGATTAAGTTTGTGTGCTAACAATTTTATATGATTTCCATATCCTTGAGAGGTTTTAAATTCTTTTTTGCATGGTTTACAAGTATGTGACATTTGAATTTATATAATAAAAATTTAAAAATTTTAAATTTTTGTTTCGTATTAATAATTTAAAATTTTAAATTTTTAGATCGTATCAATAATTAAAAATTTAGTGATAAATTTTATGATCGTATTAATAATTAAAAATTTAGTGATAATTTTTATGATCCATTATTAAACTTAATTTATATAAGACGATTGCTATTTGTACACCATGTGTATGTACACACATATATTGATATCTCAAAATCCTAATTATATAATAGC